TGTGTGTGTGTGTGTGTGTGTGTGTGTGTGTGTGTGTGCGTGCGTGCATGCGTGCGTTTATGTGTGTGTGTGTTAACAGCTGTGCCAGCAGCCCCGGTGAATGTATCGGTGACCCAGCTGAGGGCACACTCGGCCATGGTGACCTGGAATGTTCCTCAGGGAGACACCGTCATTGGATACGCCATCTCACAGCAGGTACAATACAGCAGCCTCGTGTCATCTCTGCATGCATACACTGAGCACGCACGGCCAATGAACCATGCTTTTTCTTCTTTTTAAACTGAATGTCAAATACATCCTGATGTGCCCTCTCATTCAGCTGAAGGCCGATTAATTTTGCAGGGATCCAAATTATGAATTGAATGCCCAGAAAAGCTGGACCGGTGCCATGCTCGGGGCTGGAACAGCTTTTCAAAGATGAATTATGTATTTCTCGTGCTCATCTCAATCTCACGAGGGCTCACTTCTTTCTCTTTTGTCCTCCTGCTGCTGTCTTCTGGGATTTATTAAAATGCTGCGTCATTCATTAGCCGGGTAGGCAGTCAGCATTGGGCTCAAAGACCCTTTGAGTCATGAGGGGTGGGAAAGTTTGGAAACCTCTCGGAGGAATTTGCTCATAAACATTTTGCTTCTTAAGGAGCTCATTAATGTCAAGGATGGCTACTGGTTGACGTAGGTAATAATAAAAAACCAAATCTCTTAATTACAGAAGGTGCAGCCAAAAGAAGGACTTTCCAAGTATCCAATTAGCAAGAAAAACCTGATAATCGAAGTAATCGATCTTTAAATATCCCCCAGGAGGAAAGGTCCTGCCGTGGATTTGAGGGGGAAAAGATTGCTCACAAGTAAGACATCCACAGCTGTGCACTGGTGTGTCAGCTCAACTGTGTGAGGCTAACAAAAGTCATATGATTTGCCCGTGTTTGGGGTAATTTATCATAAATAATTAAGTTGCACAGCTGTCGTGCCATATGCATAACAGTGTGTTAATGCAAAAATGGGCTTTGGAGATGTTCATAAGAAGTTGCAGGTATTTAATTAATTCAGGGAAAAAAAGACTCAAACAAATAGCTGAAAGCAACAGACACATTGGTAGCACATGCTTTATTAAAAGCCATGAATTCACTCATTACTGCTCTGTCTAGTATTATAGATACTGTGTTCAGCTGTACTTCATACAGCTGTTTGTGTGCCTTTCAGACAGCTGACAGTAGAACAATAGTGTATTTTGTCCTCTTTCTGACCCTAACATTTGGAAGAAGAAATACAGACTGCTCTCAGCTTACAGGTGCGGTCTTCTGCTGCTGTTCAGATGCTCTTCTGCATACCTTGGTTGTAATAAGTGGTTATTTGAGTTACTGTTGCCTTCCTATCAGCTCAAAGCACACTGGTCATTTTCCTCTGACATCAAAAAGGCATTTTCCCTCAGTGAACTGATGCTCACCGAATAGTTTCTCTTCTTCAGGTCACTAGTAAACACTAGAAATGGTTGTGCAGGAAAATCACAGCAGATCAGCAGTTTCTGAAATACTTAAATCATCAACAACATTACCACATTAACATAATCTTCCGCATTCTGATGCTCAGTTTGGACTTCACTAGGTCGTCTTAACCATGTCCACTTGTGTAAATGCTTTGAGTTTCTGCCAGCTGATTGGTTAATTAGATATTTGCATTAATGAGCGGTTGAACAAAATATGATTGTTCAGAATATATTTCTTTTTCTTCATGAATTCATCGATTCATTGGTTACATTTCATTTAATTAAATGCTGCAGTCCTTCCACGTAGCACCTTTAAAGAACACAACTGCCACCTAAAGTACAAGAAGTTTGCGTCACTGTAAGAGACGTTTCACATTAATTCTGCTGTTACATAACAACATTTTGTCTGTCTGACATCTCTTAAAAACCTCGGCTGCTAGCTCAGCTTGGCTCATTTTAATCAGTCTTCACCACCTACAGTTTTGGCAAAAGGAGAATGAGACATTAGCTGAGCTCTGAGTGGGTGTCTTCTCCATTAGCGGAAATTATTTGGCCAGGATTTGTCTCACAGGAGAAACATCCACAGCGGTGTCGATGCCAAACAACTCTTATTCTTTTTTTTTTGGTTTTTTTTCCCAAGTCACCTCACATCTGAGTCAGAATCCATCAACCTTTTGGCATTTTCAAGAAAACACAGGATCGGGATGTAAAACATCTCCTGCTTTAACCTCAGAAAGCACTTATGTAAAAAACCCTTACTCAAATATTAATCGGGGAGGTGATGGTAGCAGGTGGATGCAGCGGGTATCCGTGCTGCAGGTTTTATCTACCAACCCCGTATTTTCCATTGTTAGTCATCAAAGGTTGCCTTGGATCAGAGTGAACTGCTACAAAAGGGCAAAAAATGCTGTTATATAAAAGGCTGCTCTGTCAATCAAGTATGCTTTCCACCATTTCTATTTTCCTTATTGCAAGAGTGGTCTCGCATCAGGCTTAAGTCTTGATTAGGATTCAAACATGGCTGCTTTGTGGGATTATTTCATTCACAGTATCTTTCGGTGACATGCCGAGCCTTCTGTTTGTGAAGGAGAAGCAGGACGAGTGAATGTGCCCAGACAAAGAGTTGCTTCACTCATCTAAAGTTGTTCCAAATCCCACGGTGCTGGCTGCCAAGATGCACGCGTTACACAACCTCGCTCCCAAACACACAAACACATGAAGTAACCCAGTTTAAGTTTCTGTGTCTGAGACTCCCAGCAGTCCTGGTTTCTATGACTTCAAATATCAAACACACAGGGTTAATTGATGATTAGTGCAAGGGCAATGCTTATCAAATAAAACCTGCAGAGAGTGCCTGTTTTTAACTTGTGTTGTGATGTTTGTACCAGAAGAAGATTGTCAGACTGTGACAACATCAGAGGAGAGATTTGTTTTTCTGCACCACTTTCCTTCTGAAATGCATTAGGCTGCTGCTGACTTCTTTCCTGACCTAAAAATAGCGATGCACCCAAACTTCGTGTTCACCTGCAGACTTCACGGTCACATTTTACTGAAGTAAAGGCGCCTTCTGTTCCTTTTTAAAGTGTCTGAAGCTGAACCCTGACAAATCAAACTTTAAGACTGCTGCCAAAATTAAAAGAAAGCTTGAAACCCCCTGCAAGAACAAGAAAATATTTACTTCAATTGTCAAATGTAGAGAACTTCCAAGAGCACAGATTAAGAGGGTTTGTAGCAGCCAGCTGTTGATAATCAAATCCATTTGATAAACTGATCATTAGTGAGTGTGAGCACCTCTATAAAAGCAGACAGTTTGCTGGTCTTCAGAAATCACAATGCTACAGTCTTTCAAGACGTAGACGTCCCAGCAAATTCACCCCAAAGTCAGACTGTGCAATGCTCAGAGAAACTGCAAAAAGAGGTACACCACACTTCATGACAGTACAATTAGCAAAAAAACAGAAAAAGTATGGCTTCGTTGGAAGGGCTTCCAGGAGAAAGTCTCTTCTCTCTTAACAACCCACAAAATCCCTGGAATGAGGCTAAAGTTTGTTATTATGTTTGCTCATAATGCACAAAACCAAATGCCGCGTATCACCACAAACACCTCATACCCGCTGTCAGCATAGAGGTGGAGGCGTAATGATTTGGGCAAGTTACAGACATTGAGTCGATCATGAACTCCTCTGCATACCAAAGTACTCTAGAGACATCTGTTAGGCAGTTAAAGTGTGGATCAAAGTAATGACCACCTCTAAGTGCAGACCTCGACCTGATTGAAATGCTGTGGCTTGGCAAAAGAGAGCTGTGCATAAATAAATGCCCTCAAACCTCAATGAACCGCTGGACAGGAGAGCAGACCCAAAGTCCTCTACGATGTGAGAGACTGATATGACATACAGAAATGTATTATTTCAAGTTGTCGCTGATCCCAAGGTGGTTCTACAAACTACTGAATTATGCATACTTTAAAAATCCTATTTTTGCCATCCTGTAAATGGATGCAGGGATTATAAAACACTTATGAAATCAACTAAAACCAGAGAGTCTGTCACTGTAGAACGTTTGTTTTACCTACCTTGAAAATATAACCTGCAGGCTTTACTTTCTTCTGTCATCAAACAGTATAAAACGCTCATCATCGAATGCTCTTTTGCTTGTTAAGAATTAGAAAAAATCTGTTTTACTTTTAAGATTTTCAAAAGCTGAGAGGGTATTCCCATGTTGACTACAGTTAGAAAGTATATGTAAAGATGACCAGCTTTTTTAAAAGCAGTTATCTATTTTGGAGCCGACCTTTGTGGCACAAAAATATAAAGGAAAAAGGGGTGGCTCAAGACTTTTGCACAGACCTTTAGATGGCTGTGACAAGTGTCCATTAGTTTTGATTTCCTGGTTTACTGTCTTACTTAAAACTGCAGAATTAAATGTGCCTATGAGGTAAACTGACAAATCCTGAAAATTAGAAAGTATCTTGAGTTACGTCAGCGGCACTTTTCAAAATTAGATGGTTTTGGAGTTTTTATTCCAAAATGGTAATGCCTCAATCCCAGCTGAGTCACTGGTGCTGATTAACGATCCTTTTAACCCCCATCGATTCAGTATATACTTTTATATCACGGCCTTTTAGTGCTGCAGGACGATCAAAGTGTCCTGGCCGACTCGCTGCCTGCAGGGCTGCCAGAGGAGCAGCAAACACCACTTTGACTCTCCACTCGAGACATCTGGAGCGCCTCGAGCGTCCTGACAGCTTTCTATTTATTGACTCTTCCTCAGCCTTCAGTGCTCCACAAGCACGTTCGCAATCTGGGAAACTTTCTCATTTGAAAACTGGACTAGCTGTCGCTAGATGATGCTTACCAAGCAGTTGTTAAAAAATCCTCGTTATGAGCTGTTCTGATGCCGAGCTGGTGGTTTTTTAGAATATTTGGTGTAATTGGTGTTTAATGGCCGGAAATGACAATAATGAAAAGCTTGAATATATGATGAGCCATTTTCTACAATCTCAAAAACAAGAATGCAGGCTGGTGCTCTTGTGTGAACACCAATTATCTCTGAGCAGCGCTCATCAGGATGTCTGCAGTTAAAAAGAAGACAGTTAAAGGTTCCTTCATACAGAGTCTCCAATCAGAGCAATTAAAGTCTCGTGCAAGTCTCGTGTTGTCGGGAAAACTTAGCCACACAAAAACATGATTTCTTTTTTTTTTTCCTTATTTGTCACGGTAAACAAGATAAATACAGAATGCAATTTTTAAATTATAATTTTGATTATTAGGAGAAGAAAAATTTACCCAAACTTACCTGGGCCTGTGTGAAAGAGTAATTGCCCCCTTAGTGTTTCTTCTTCACTTAATTTTTTCCCCACTTGCTATGTGTTTATACACCTCTCTGCATTTAATCATTAGTTATTATTAATCTCTGTCTCTTCTCCACAACATGTTTTCGTCTTTTTTTCCCCCCTTAACCCCAACTAGTTGTGACAGATGGCCTTCCCTCAGTGAGCCTGGTTCTGGCAGAGGTTTCTTCCTGTTAAAAGGGAGTTTTTTCATCCCCATTCTCGCCAAGCCTGTATGGGGTCTGATTGTTGTGTTTTCTCTGTTTTCTTTGTATTATTGTAGAATGTCTACTTTACAATATAAAGCACATTGACGCAACTGTTGTTGTGATTTAGTGCCAAATAAATAAAACTGAATTGAATTTAAATTAATTAAATTAAATCTAATAACTAGCTGTGCCACACTTGGCCGCAAGAACTGCAATCAAGCGTTGCCACATGTGCAGTTTCAGCACTCAGCACTCTTAAAGGCTAAAATCAGGTCTCATTGTGTTGGCCTAGCAATTCCAGACACACAAACACAAATGCAAATTATGCTGGAAACTCTTAGCTTGTTTTCTGTGTCCGAGGGGAATGAAGAACCAAAATGCATCTTAACTGCTGTTACCATGGTGCCATGTTAAGTGGAAACCTGCTGCAGCAGCTCTTGTGTTTTCTGTTGTTGTTTGTTTTTTGCCATTTTCTTAATTTAACTGAACTACTAGTAAGTTTATTTACTCCATACACCTCTATAGTGCAGATATCTGCCTGGCAGAGAATCCTCTGCAGACATTATTATTATTAACCATCCATTTTATTCCTCTTATCAATTCAGGGTCGTGGGACTCCACCAGTCTTCATGTTCACGTAACATGAAGGATTTGATTTGCGATTGTTACTTTGAATCCACGCGCACAGTGTATTTACATATTACCTTCTGAATCCACAGCTCATTTTAAAGATATGAACTGTAGAGTTTGGTGGGTAACCTTGTGAAAATGTTCTTGCCTCGATTCTCGCGGCCCCTCATGGATGTATGCTGCTTTGTGTTGTCTTTCCAGTAACTTTGTCTTCTTCTGCAGGCACCTTTTATCACTGGACTTTAAATAAACACGGTGAATGTGATCTTCTCAGTGCTAAAGCAGCTGAAAAATCAGATATTTCCCCAGGGAGGTGGTGGAGACCAAAATGGAGCTAAAACTGATTAAATTGTGGACTTGAATTAAAGCATGGCTCTAAATTAATAATTATCTTGTTGTGTTTTACCTTCTGATTGCAAAAATGGAGATGATAATATGTCTGTGTTGTATTTACAATTTATAAATTCACCCATCCCCAAATTTTCACTAAAGACAGCTGTTAAAAACTAAAATTTATCTCCACAGGGTCACCATCTGTTTACCTGCTGATCCAGAAGGTGACATTTCTTCATTAATTCTGCAGCTCCTTATACCAACAGAGCATCTCTGCCTGAACATGTGTTTTTCTGTTTCTTTTGAATGACTATTGCTGGTGTTACCTTGCCTGCAGACCTAATTTCTCCCACTGGGACTGTATGGGTGTGAGGGGAATTTCTATGAGGCAAAGCTGCTTGTTACTGCAGGGATTCTGCTTGCATTTCAAGTATTTGCCTTTAAATGTGACATAATGATGATTTTTTTTTATTGGTAAATTAGTTTAGCAAAGTTTACTTTAAAAGAAAACAGAAAAGATTCTTCTCCTTTTAAGACAACACTATCTGCCTCGAGCAAAGTACGAGGCCATTACTGCTTTTATTAGATCATAATACTTAAGCTGTCAGCCGGATATGCTGATCAGATCCCGAGATTTGATTTAAATTTGCCATACGTGTGGCACATTAATGTCTTTGTGTGTGCAAAAGCATCCACCGCATGTATTCCTCATGTGTGCACGTATCCTGTCTCCAGAGGCAGGACGGCCTGATGCAGCGCTCCATACGAGAGGTGAACACGTCCAGCCGCTGGTGTGTGCTGTGGGACCTGGACGAAGACACACACTACAGTGTCCAGGTGAGGGAAACACACAAACACACAAGTTTAATAGCTATTACCTATTTAATGATAGCTATGTAATAGCTAATAGCTAATTAGACTGATGTATGTATTAGTTGGATGGTATCCTTTTCTAAAAGGCAGGTGTGTAATGGTGTAACTAACCATTTTTATTGGCTATGTAACCCATAAACACTGCCATTACAAAAGATCTTATGCAAATGTAGGCTTACAAAACACAAACTAGCAAAAGAAGAAGAAGAAGTTGTTAATTCAGAAGTATTTTGGAGCAGTTGTGAAACCCAGGAGGAGGAACGAGATGCAGGACGCACCGTGAACAGGGCTGAAGTGTTCAGCCCACAGCTGTACACAAGGAAACAAGAAAAAACTCTGGATAACCAGGAATGATGACTGGGAAGTTTGAGGAATGCAAGAAGTTTAAGGAGGTTTCTCACGTGATGTCTCACTGCCAGAGACCTCCAGCAACCACTTGCCAATCAGTTGGGGAATACACGCTGCTCCCTAGCAACCAGTGTTTACCGAGAGGGGGTGGTCTGTGTCCTTAGGTCTGTGTGAGTGAGGCCTAAGCTTCCTCCAGTTGCCTGTATTTTTGCCATATTTTCCTACAAATCACTCACTGTTACACAAGTGGTAGTGAAACTTGATAATGTGCAATGTGAACTGAAAATAGAGAAGTTTCAAAGAGAAGCCAGCGTTCTTCAAAAGAGGCAACTTTTGTTTTGAAGGCAAACCTTCTCCAATTCTGGTCTGTCACACTTTTCACAGTTTCACGGCGCCTGAGAGAGCAGGTGTTTGTAGGCAAGCCCATCACTACAATTCAAATTACGGCCACAGCAATCTGCTAGCAACAAAATCAATCACAACAAAGTTTTTGCCAGGTAGATGGGGAATATTCATTTTCCCTTAGTTACAGATGGTTGCTGGGGGCTCACTGGCGTGTCTGCCAGCTTCCACATTCTTGATATTATTTCAAATGTTTCTTTTAGGCTGTTATGATAGGAACAGTTGAAAAATGATGGAGGAAAACGGGCACTGAATGGCACTTTTGCTTTAGCCAGGTGTCCAAAAATGGTGCACAAGTTAACATCATGTGGTTAGCGGTCACATGTCTACAAAACCTCAAAAATTAAGAGATTGATTACTGATTGAACACAGGTATGATGGAAAAGCAGTTGAAAACAGGCAGGAAGTACGTCTGACTGAAGTGTAAGACTGGCTGAGACTTCAGAATAAAACAGGAAGTGGCTAAAGCAACAGAGGAATAGAAAAATAGAAAAAGGAAGTAAGTAGACTTGACATCAGCCAGCAGAATAAAACAGGAAACAACTAAAGGAAACAACTAAACTGTGTCCTCCTAACTTTGCAAATTTTAAAAAGTTGACAACAATCACAGAAGCTAAGCCGACCCATTTGGGTTAAAGAATAGGGTTGTCCTATATTCCGCAAAAGTTGCTGCAAAAGAACTTTAATGTCTTCAGATTAATGCTCTTCTCTGTGCACCTTAAATGAATGAAGTTGTGTCACAAGAGTATGTGTCTGTCCAGGTCAGGACAATCTTTTAGATGCCAGACCAAAGAATTTTCAGCATGTTGCAAAAAGGGACTCATAGTATTGATCCATAAGGTAAGAAAATGTTCATCATGTTTGTACAAATAGACATGAGGTCTAGATGATATATCAACAAAGCCATACATTTAGAAATAAAACTGGACGATTTGGTCTTTGTAAGTGCTTTGAAATGGAGATTTTTTTTGCCTCTGTGTATGGAAAAAAGAGACCTATCATCATCCTCTTCTTCTTTATTTTCATTCTGTGAGTCAGCTAGAGTACATTTGCATGAGTCACAATTTAAAAAACTGTGACTGGTTGTTTATAGAGCTCCTCAGTTCATCCTCTGTCTGGAACAAGTAGTTTTACCTCCTGCTCTTTAAGACCTACACCTTGAAAGCTCATTTTAGCCTGTTTCATGGACATGCAGTGTAACATATAAATAAATCATTGATGACCTGATGCAGCTTGTTCTGAAAATTAATTAAATAAATAAATATTGAGAGGGGTATAATGACTTTTTCAACTTGCACACACATTTTTAGAAAACAAATTTAGGTCTTTATTTAAAACTTTAGCATCATTTGTCAATTCTGCCGAGAAGAGACGTCAAATATCTTTACCTTCAAAACTCACCTATTATACTTTCTGCCAGTCCATTCTAATTGGATGGCTTTTAAGTTCAGAAATTTTCAACAGGATTGAGGTCGGGGCTTTAGGAAGGCCATTCCAGAAGCTCAGTGCTAGCCTGCTCTATCTATTCCCAACTAGTTTTGATCTGTTTGGGATCATTGTCCTGATTTGAGGTGAATTTGAAGAATTTGGAGATAGTCTTCCTTCTTCATTATTCCATCAACTTCTTGCAGTGTACCAGTACCACTGGCAGCAAAACGGCCCCACAGCATGAACCTGCCACCACCATGCTTGACAGTAATAATAATGTTGGTCCACGATCAACATTATTTTCATGATGTAGCAACAAAGTGATGACACATCTGAATAACTTGTACTTATGTACATTTGTTTGAATCACTGATCTTGGAATCTGCAGTTGTTTAGAAATGGCTGCAAGACCTTCACAACCTTCCCAAATTTACAGTTCTCCTTCTTGGATCTTCACTGAGTTCCTTGGACTTTCCCATTGTTCCGAGTATTGGTCAGCCTAATGAGTGCCGTCAAACAAATCCTTTTAATACTGCAAAGAGAAACTACCAGCTGTACACAGTCATGATCACTAACGAGAAGTTAATAGGCCTTGTGAGTTAAAAGACATCATAGAACAATCAGCACCACTTAGTAAAAGATTTAAGAGTGTATGTATATTTTTGAGCCTGTTTGGATTAGAAAAAATCCGAAATAAATAGATCACTGAATTGAAACTTACCCAGTTCTTGTTTTTCAAAGTCATTAAAGATTTATCCTGTAAAATCATCCCAGCCTAGAAATAGAACAGTTCCAAGAAATAATTAAAAGCCCAAAATTACCACGACATTCATGCCTATGATGAGTGGATGTAAACGTCTGACCAAAACTGTATATCTATGTATTACTCAGTGTAATGAAGCTGAAAGCTGATTATAAACTCTTTTATATATATTTATATTTTAAGCACAAGTCCACGTAAATGTAAAATAATTTGATATTTTCACAACCTGGCAACCTTACAAATTGCTTATCCAGGGCTGAAAAACACTCCTGAACCTCTCATGAAAACATTAATTACCATTTTAATTATGTTAATTATTTCAGTATCATTTAATGCTTGGTTAGCGAATAGATGGATCATCTGCATCACAGCTGAGAAACTTTCTTAGATGATGACAAAGCATTTTTTTCTTAAATCAAGTGTCAGTGTTTGATTAACCTAAACAGTGACACCTCTCTGTTCTGAAAGTTTAAACTAAAACTGCAGCTCCTCTCTGAAGAAGGAGTCTCTAATGTGACTCCATTATCGTGGTGCTATTAAAATTTTTATGCTCCATTATAGCCTAACAGACTGATGCAGACTGCAGACTGTCCTTCAGCTGCAGGACTTGCTTCAATGTGCTCGTCAGCAGACAGATGTCCTGCGAAAGTGTCATTGAGCAATGCATTGCTGCCCGGTGAGGTCCAGAGGGGGCTGAATTTGACCTCTGATCTCCCTTTGGCGGGCGGGGAAGTTAAAAATTAAAGTATGAATTTCCCAATGGAGTTGGGTGTTGTTATCCAGGATGAGGGGACAGATTAGAGCTTGCAGAGGACACTTTGCAGGCATCAGACTGTAGAATTAGAGGAGAACAAACACTCTAAATTCAAGGACTTACTTCATAAACTCCACAGAAAACTTGCTGCGTATTGCCGTTGGCTGTGTTGTGTAGGTGGAGAGAGCATCTGTGGCACAATGAGACCTCGTGTGGATGTAATTTTATCTCTGTGATTGATTTATTTTCCTGTGTGTGCGTTAAACTGAGTGCTTCCTGTTATAAAACTCCACTGCAGCTCGATTTGAATGTGAAACACCATTAACACGTGTTAACGTGTTAATTTACACAAAGCCTAATTTTATAATCTTTCCCAGTGACTGAAAATGTCCCCAAATGAGCTTATAGCTCAAATTTATATTCTCTCTGTTGCCTTTCAAGCTTTTACTCAGCGTCCTCCAATGATCATTCAGGATCACGGCCAAAAGCCAAAGCACCGCTTGCTCACTAAATATATCCTCGGCAGCCAGTTTCTTGCCATCATTGCATAATGTTGTCCTTTGTTAATGCCACTGTAAGAATGCACCCAGAGTTTGTGCTCAGCTGTCATCAGCTTGGCTCTACCTTTGCTTAAAAATATCTTAACATTCCCTCTAAATACTCTTTTTTCCCCCCTTGTTGGATGTAGGTGCAGTCCGTTGGGCTGCATGGTGACAGCCCACCCAGCCGTGCCGTCCACTTCAGGACTCTGGAGAGGACCGACCATTATCCAGCCGGAGTCCTGGACCACCGTGAGTGCTCATAAACACAGTCCAGAGGGGGGCTTCCTAAAGTAAAACACATGACGTGCCGTGTTACAGCAGCACAGACACAAATCTGAGGTATTTTATTGTTGCATAAAGTACGCAGAAGTTTGGTGTCTCAGAAACGCTGTTTTAAGTCAAGTTTTCAAGGTGTGTATGCACATGTTAAATACTGGCAATAATAGTCTGAGGAGCTTCGAAAGAAAAGTGTCTGGACTTTAAGACCGTGAAAATTTTATTTGTACAATACAATACAATACAATTTTATTTATATAGCACATTTAAAAAACCACAGGTATGCCAAAGTGCTTCACAGAACGAGTTAAGAGCAATAATAAATATAAGTACAAAACACAACATACAAAATACAAATAAAATATACTAACAGGCATAGTAGGCACAACCCGAAAGGCTGAAGGTTAAAACATTATAAACATTAATAAAGCTAAAAAGATATGTTACAGTACACTAAAAATGCGGGCTCTAGAAGGCGGGGAAAGCAAGGCTAAACAAATACGTTTTTAATCGAGATTTAAAAGATTGAATTGAATCAGACGCCCGAATAGCTAGAGGGAGGTTATTCCAGAGGTAGGGTGCGACAGCGGCGAATGCGCGGTCACCTCTGGTCTTGAGCCGAGATCTAGGTTGCACCAGGAGCATTTGGCCTGCTGATCTAAGCGCTCTCCCAGGGGTATAAAAGCTGAGGAGATTTGTAAGATAGCTGGGTGCGGTGTTATTTATGATTTTAAAAGTGAGCAATAAGATTTTAAAATCAATACGAAATTTAATAGGGAGGCAGTGCAGGTCGGAAAGAACTGCAGTAATAGACTCAAACCTGCCAGTTCCAGTTAAGAGAGGCGCAGCTGCATTTTGAACGAGCTGCAGTTTGTGAACAAGGGCAGAATGGAGACCAGTATAAAGGGAATTACAGTAATCTAACCTTGATGTAACAAAGGCATGGATAAGTTTCTCCAGGTCCTTACATGGTATGTAGGGCTTGGCCTTAGAGATTAGACGTAATTGACTGAAACTCGATTTAACTACAAAGGACACATGTTTGTGCAACTTGAAGGAACTGTCCAAGACAACACCCAGGTTCCTCACAGTGTCAGAAAGGGAGTAGGCAAAGGGCCCAAGAATACCAATTAGTTCAGCCAGGAAGCATTCACGAGAAGGGAGTATCAAAGATTACAATTTCAGTCTTCTTATCATTTAGAATGAGGGAATTGCTCAGTAGCCAGATTTTAACTTCATTCATACAATTGGAGAAGTGTTGCAACGACAACGTGACATCCTCAGCTAGTTCAAAATAGATTTGAATGTTATCCACATAAAAGTGAAAAGAAATATTGTATTTCTCAAAGATTCGGCCCAAGGGTAACAAGTATAAAGAGAACAGCATGGGACCCAGCACAGACCCCTGGGGGACACCAGAGGTAACAGGGGCAATGGAGGAGGAGTAGGTACCCTTGGTGACAGAAAAGGACCTGTCTGAGAGATAGGATTTAAACCAGCTAAGGGCACTGCCCGTGATTCCCACCAGATGCTCAAGCCTCATTAAAAGGACATTATGGTCCACCAAATCAAAAGCAGAGGACAAATCAAGCAAAATTAACACCACAGGGCGCCCTGAGTCAGCAATTGAGAGAAGATCATTAAAGACTCTCAGTAATGCAGTTTCCGTGCTATGGCGTGGCTTAAACCCCGACTGAAAAATTTCCTCGATATTATTTGCATCCAAATAAGTTTGAAGTTAGGAGTGAACAATCTTCTCTAGGATTTTAGACAGAAACGGGAGTTTGGAAATGGGTCTAAAGTTAGCGAGATCATTCTGATCAAGGGAGGTCTTTTTGAGTATAGGTTGCACTACAGCGTGTTTAAAAGCAGCCGGAACACAACCCGAAAACAATGACAGGTTAATTAATGATAAAATACAGGGCTCGATAATGTTAAACCCATCTTTAATAATACGAGATGGAAGGA